AACTCATTAAGTGGGCTGCGGTGGATTCTCCTCCACCCTCCGCACAAAACGAAGAACATGACCGAAACGAAGAGCGAGTGGGAGAGAGAGAGGAAAAAGAAGAAAAAAGAAAATTAATAATCAACCGCAACAGTCTTAATTTATATTTCGCAAAAGACCAACAAACGTCTGTGTCTCGCACTAGCTGCGGGGGTGAAGCTGGATAAAACAGAAGCAGGAAAGAAGGACGAAGAAAAAACGAATATATATAAATGTAGTAGAAAGGAAGGAAAGTAATTGAATTTTTTCTTAATTGCCTCCGCGCTTTGCGAATAATTTTCGGCATGGAAAATTAAAAAAACAAAAAAAAAAGAAAAGAAACGGAAAACTCCTGTTGTTTGTGTGGGAGAGCTTCCACCTTTCGAAACGAATTACGAAATGAAATTAAAACGAAAATTGTTTCTAAATCTAAAAGTTGGCCTTGCCGTAATTCCATTGTTTTATATTCGGATTAAAAGGGATAAAAAAAAATAGGAAACATAGGAAAGTAGAAAAAGATGAATAACTAATAGTGAAATTCAATTGTTTCAAACATAAAATTTAAAACTTCATAAATTTGATCACTAATTACACTAAATTAAAAATTGAGTTTTAAAATTAAACTACTAATTGAAAACATAATTTGTGTTGAAATTAGTACGAGTTAAACTTGAATAATTTCATAGAAATTGCAAGAATTATATTACATCAAAGCAAAAGTATCATAGAGTGGGTAAATAATGCAGTCGATTATAGTGCGTTATGTGTATATGTATCAAACGGTTTCTGTTCTGTTGGAAAAGACAATTTAGCGAAGGAAGGGGCATTGTTTAAGTCTGCAATAATTGCAGTTTGAAGGCGTCTACGAGTTTAATGGATTGTTCCACTTGTTTAAGGGATATTAAATCTCGCAGCGAGTGTCGCGTAATTGGTATTTGATCTACTCGAGTCCACACGGAAAGTGTTTTTGCAAAGTTAAGTTGCAATTTCCTTTTCCTCTCCACTTCTTACACCCTCCTTCTCCTCCATAATGATAATAATTCAATGAAAGAAGGTGAAAAAAAGAAAAAAATATGCACTGAATACTACCAGCTGTAATTCATTATTCGTTACTAAACGTAATTAAAGTAATTGTTTTGAAAAATTTGCCACAAATTGTGTCTTTAATTTATTTCACGAAAACGATGAATCGCATAGCGAAAATTCAATAAGCAAATTAAAGCTAAATCTCAAATATTTTCATTAGAATATTGGTGATTTTGTAAACATGTTTATTTTTGTTATTATATAGAAAATTACAGAATTTTAAGTGATTTTTAAACAAATCTTTCAGTGAAAATGAATGATTTTGTAAATATGTTTTGTTAATAATTATATAGAAAATTAAGATTTTTTTGGAGATTTCTATACGAATTTTTCATTAGAATATTGGTGATTTCGTAAACATGTTTATTTTTATAATTATATAGAAAATTACGGAATATTAAGAATTTTTTTCATTTGAAAAATGAGTGATTTTGTAAACATATTTTGTTAATAATTATATAGAAAATTACAGATTTTTTAGAGATTTTTAAACAAATTTTTCTTTACTTTACAAATTCTTGTTTACTTTTATAACTATTTAGAAAATTACAGAATTTTTCAGTAAAAATGAATGATTTTGTAAATATGTTTTGTTAACAATTATTTAGAAAATTAAGATTTTTTTTGGAGATTTTTATACAAATTTTTCATTAGAAAATTGATGATTTGATAAACATGTTTATTTTTATATTTATATAGAAAATTACGGAATATTAAGATTTTTTTTTCATTTGAAAAATCATTGATTTTGTAAACATATTTTGTTAATAATTATATAGAAAATTACAGATTTTTTAGAGATTTTTAAACAAATTTTTCTTTACTTTACAAATTTTTGTTTACTTTTATAACTATTTAGAAAATTACAGAATTTTTAAAGATTTTTATACAAATTTTTCAGTAAAAATGAATGATTTTGTAAATATGTTTTGTTAATAATTATAAAGAAAATTAAGATTTTTTTTAGAGATTTTTATACAAATATTTTCGTAGAATATTGGTAATTTTATAAACATGTTTATTTTTATAATTATATATAAAATTACGGAATATTAAGAATTTTTTTCATTTGAAAAATGAGTGATTTTCTATACATATTTTGTTAATAATTTCATTAGAATATTGGTGATTTTGTAAACATGTTTATTTTTTATAATTATTTAGAAAATTAGAGAATTTTAAGTGATTTTTAAACATTTTTTCAGAGAAAATGAATGATTTTGTAAATATGTTTTGTTTATAATTATACAGAAAATTAAGATTTTTTTTTGAGATTTTTATACGAATATTTCCTTAGAAAATTGGTAATTTTGTAAACATGTTTTCTTTTATAATTATATAGAAAATTAGAGAATTGATCGTAAGAATGATCTCTGTTTGAATTAGCTGTCAAAATTGAAGCAATCAAATTTTAAGTGTTCAAAAAACAATTGTTTAAAGTTGTTTTAACAATTAGTATCCTAATTAATATTAAATAAGCAAATTAAAGGTAAATGAGTGAAGAATAAAATGGTCGTAAGATGAGAATTGTATCTATCTGCGTTTTCTTGTAAAATTCACTATCAAAATTGAAGTCTTTATAAATTTTTGACTATAACTCAACAACCATTAATGCCCTAATTGATACAAAATATACATATTAAAGGTAAATTTGCGAGGAATTAAATTATCTTAAGATGAGAATTGTATCTATCTGCGTTTTCTTGTAATTCACTATCAAAATTGAAGTCTGTATAAATGTTTGTCTATATTTCAATTAATTGAAAATATGCAAATTAAAAGTAAATTTGCAAGGAATTAAATTATCTTAAGATATGAATTGTATTTAACTACGCTTTTGTAATTCGCTGTCAAAGTTGAAGTAATAAAAACTTACATTTTTGTATAAATCTCGAAAACCATTGATGCCATAATCAATTTTGAATCTGTAAAATAAAGAGAAAACTGTAGAGAATTTAACTTTTATAAATTGAGTATTTTAATGTTGATCCTCTTTAAAATAATTGAAGTAAAACGTAAAAAGCAACAAAATATTGAACGATTTGCAGGATGCATACGATGATGATATACGATATTGGCGGCGGTAATGAAGGTATTTTAAGAAACGTATATATATTTATGTGCGTTCTCAGAAAGTGTTGGGATGTGGGTAATAATTTTCGTGTTTCCTTTGGCTCGAATTCGCCTCTCGGCTCTCGGCAATCGGAGAGTGTGCGACGGTGTAATTTCGTGAGCTAATAAGTAGCCACGTGCGTGGCCCATACATCAAAAACCACCACCTTCAACTTCGTTCGACCATTCCAAGAGCTGTGATGTAACAGAAACTGGAGCTGCGGGCTTCTCTCCATCTTTAGCACCAATAAAAGAGGTAATAATAAAACAAACAAAAAAACAATCCTATCCTTTGCGAGGATAACAAGAAATAAACACAAACGTAATTTATGTTGGAGATGGTGTGCAAAAATGGTGAGAATCAAAGATCTGGAATGAGAGGATAGAGAAGAACGTGACTGGACGGCGTTTAAGTAATTTTTCGAATCGATTGCAATCGGATCGAAGAGGCGAGAGAGAAGAAAAAAGATTGTTGGGTTGTCGATGGAAATCGGGCGAAAAACACGTCGTTTCGAAACGCTTAATCCCAACGGTAATTATAAAGCAAACCTGGGAGGATTGAGCGTGATTTTTCTCCACACACACATTTTTTTCCCATTTCCATCTCCGAGCTTAATCTCGCGATGTTAATCATGGATAATTACCGTCTTTCGATCGAGATGCATTCCAAATTTGGTGGTCGCAATTATAATCCTCCACTTGTTGGTTTACCCTTCTCTCCATCTCTCTTCACACTTCACTATTTGTAGACTTGCAGACTGTTATTTATATGGGAATGATGGTTAATAAGTCTTCGAGCCGTACAGAATGGAAACACACCCATACACACACACAGTTTCTCGTGGCAACTGTATCGCATAATCCGAAACTTCCTTAAACTAGTTTATACACGTCCGCGAGCGTTATTAAAACTTTATACATGATTAAATTGTTAAAACTTAAGATAAAGTTTCTAAAATGCATTACATTATGAATGTTCTCTGGCCGTTCAACCTACCCCCATCCTAGGAAAGCCCAGTTTTACTTACGTCTCTCTCCTCCTCTCTTACCGAACAAGACACCACTGGTTAGGGCATTAACGACTTTCCACCAACTTTTCCTTCTGCTTATTATAACGTCCCATTTCCAATAACAAATCTTCAAGAAAACCGCAACTTCTCGCTACACACGCAAACTATTTAATTGACTGCACCTAAAACACACATTTTATTACATTCTTTACTAAATATCAAGTTTTAAAACCATCCAAGTCATTTACTAATAAATATTTATATACAAAATAATGAATTTTGTTGTTTCCTTTACCATGTTTATAAATTCATTAATAATAAGTTAAAAATCGTTAAGAATTTTTAGTAAAATTACAACAACTAGCGCCATCCAACGGAACGCGCATTTAACTAGTATTAATTGATTTTTCCACCCCAACAATACTTACTCAATTTCTACAGCTAATTTCAAACGAATGGTAGGAGTCACAAAATTGTGAGTAGGCTCATTCGAAAGATCAGAGTTTCTTCTTTGATTATCAGTTTTGAAGATCTACTTGTCACGAATGCTTATAGAGTAATTAAAATAAAAAAAGAAGACCTGCAAAAGAAACCAAACTTAGAAACAACGTATGCAACCAAATGTACAAGTAATAAAATCGTATTTAAATTACGCAAATTTCTTACTTGAGGATCCGGAAACCTAACAGTGGGCTCAGCTTCAAATATTAACTGCTGGTAAATACTGATTAAATAATAACAAACATTGCCATCTTGTGGATTTGTCTTGAACTGGTTAACCTACAACAGATATGTTTATAGTTGTTTCAGGTTAATTGTATATAGACTTATTTTTATATAATCTTAAGTGAAAATATGTTGTGTTCGAGGCTTTTATTGCAAGGACAACGCGGTTGAGCAGTTTGCAGAGCATAAGATCAATAAAAAGAAAGATAAAGGTGAATTTCAATTTTGTATACTTACATTCAAAGTTGTACGAAAAACACTTTCCACCAACTTTTTCTTCTGCTTATTATAACGTCCCATTTCCAATAACAAATCTTCAAGAAAACCGCAACTTCTCGCTACACACGCAAACTATTTAATTGACTGCACCTAAAACACACATTTTATTACATTCTTTACTAAATATCAAATTATAAAATCATCCAAGTCATTTACAAATAAATATTTATATACAAAATAATGAATTTTGTTGTTTCCTTCAACATTATTTTTTCACTGCAATGTTTACAAATTCATTAATAATAAGTTAAAAATCGTTAATAATATCTAGTAAAATTACAACAACTAGCGCCATCCAACGGAACGCGCCTTTAACTAATATTAATTGATTTTTTCCACCCCAACAATACTTACTCAATTTCTACAGCTAATTGCAAACGAATGGTAGAAGTCACAAAATTGTGAGTAGGCTCATTCGAAAGATCAGAGTTTCTTCTTTGATTCTCAGTTTTGGTAATCTACTTGCCACGAATGCTTATCGAGTAATTAAAATAAAAAAAGAAGACCTGCAAAAGAAACCAAACTTAGAAACAACGTATGCAACCAAATGTACAAGTGATAAAATGTTATTTAAATTACGCAAATTTCTTACTTGATGATCCGGAAATCTAACAGTGGGCTCAGCTTCAAATATTAACTGCTGGTAAATACTGATTAAATAATAACAAACATTGCCATCTTGTGGATTTGTCTTGAACTGGTTAACCTACAATAGATATGTTTATAGTTGTTTCAGGTTAATTGTATATAGACTTATTTTTATATAATCTTAAGTGAAAATATGCTGTGTTCGAGGCTTTTATTGCATTGCGCAAGGACAACGCGTTTGAGCAGTTTGCAGAGCATAAAATCAATACATTCAATCATCAAATCGAACAACAATGTTTCGATCAACTATCAGACAAGTTTGGCTGTGCAATCGGTGAGGTTGTATGCGAAAGGAAAGGACAAAAAGAAAGATAAAGGTGAATTTCAATTTTGTATACTTACATTCAAAGTTGTACGAAAAAAAAACTATAAAATAATAATTTGAAAATATTCTCACAATTTTGTTTTATGTAAGAACTGTCATCATTCAAAACCTACTTGATTCCAATTGTTTTGCAGGTAAAGGAAAAGTGCAAGTGAACGAAAGTCAACTGGGTGAACTCTTCAATGTGGAAACGCTGAAGAATCAAATGGAAAGGATCGTTGATTCAATGAAGGAAGACTTTACAAAGCATTTATCGTTGAGATCAACTGCAGGTTGATGTTCAATAATATTAACAAAGAAATTATTGTAATTTGATGGTGTTTTTTAGGCTCGATCGAATCAATTCTAGTCAACGTCGATGGACAGGAGCACACGCTGCAGGAATTGGCGCAAATCGTGCGAAAGAACCCGAAGACTATAGTGGTGAACATGTCGATATTTCCTCAAGCTATTCCTGCTGCTCTAAAAGCCATACAGAAATCAGGAATGAATCTTAACCCGCAACAGGAAGGAACTACACTATACATACCAGTCCCAAAGTATTGATTTTTAGGAAAAAAAAGCTGTTGAAAGTTTGTGTTTTTAATTGTAAATTGTTTTGTAGAGTGACTAAAGAGCATCGCGAGAATTTAGCGAAGAACGCCAAAACTATATTCAACAAATGCAGGGATAACATCAAGGATGTTCAGAATAAACAGAACAAGAGTTTGAAGAGAAAGGAAGGAGTTTCGGTGGATTTAGCGAGGAATGCGGAGCAACAGGTAACAGTGATTGCAGACACGTACATTGCTCAAGCAGAAAAGATACTGGAAAGTAAACAGAACGAACTAATTGGAAAAGATTAAGTTTTTTATTATAATCGTTTTTTTTTTGTTTGCAAAGCAAGGGTTAAATTAAAGTGTATATAAAAGAGAAACAAATATTTTTTTTTTCGCCGTGGCTGAATTAAAATTCGTATCAGATTAAAGCAGCCACGGCAAGAAGCCTTTGGCAAAACCAAACACCATGACAACATCAACATGGTTACAGAATTCGCTTATTATTCTGTGTCCATGGCGACGGTTGGGATCGCTTCCTTGGGAGCAGACTCGTCCCCCGCGTCTTCCCTGATCGGTGCAGCCGGAGCGGCCTCAGCGGCTGTGCCTCTCCTCTCCTCACCCTCGATCATGTTCAGATAACTGGCGATTTCATTCTCGTTGAGAATCTTGAAGATCACGTCCTTTCCCACGTAACCGATCGACACGTTCTTGGTGTTAAGATCGACTTCGTTGGGCAACGTATCTCTGAGCGCTCTCAGACCGTGCTTAATCAAATCCTCGAATCCGCAGTTCGGGAATTCCTCCAACTTCTTCTCGAGATAAGTGCGAGCGCTCTGCGAACGCGCCCCGATCGACATAGCCTTGCAATCGAAGAAATTCGCAGATGGACAAGTCTGGTAGATGTGTGGCCCCAATTCGTCGTAGCCAGCAACCAAGAGTCCAACACCATAAGGTCTCCTGTCGTACCTCTGCGTGCAAGTCTGCATCTTGTTACCCAGCTGACTGATCAGCCTGCTCACAGGCAATGGAGAATCATGCGAGTACTTATAGTTCAAGCACTCGGTTCTCATGTAACGACTGAGAATCCTTGCATCTGCAGTCAGTCCTGAAATGGTGATGCCGATATGGGAATCGATGGGGATTACCTTCTTCTGATGAGCGGACAACTCAGAGGATGCCCTCTTCAGGGCAATGATGACGGCGTGAGTTTTATTCTTCAAACCAACAGTGGCTGAACCCAACTTCACCGCTTCCATCGCGTACTCCACCTGGTGAAGACGACCCTGAGGACTCCACACAGTAACATCGCTGTCGTACTGATTCCTGAACATCTTTCTTATACGATTTTCTTTTCACGAACCGGCAGGAATTCTGTTTGTAATTGCTTCTCGTAAATGCAATATCACTGTTTAGTTCAGTTAAATCAGTTTTGCCAATAGTTACTAATACGACTTTACCAACTGAAATTTCCAATTGTTCTTAAACCTACAGGCAGATGTCGCTTTACAGGTACATTAAAACACAAATAACTCATTCACAAATCAATTAATCAACAAAACAAAGACATATTTATAATTAAATTTATATAGTATATGTTTTAATGAATAGCGTTTCCCAATTAAAACCTTAATTAAAAAGTAGGATTAGCTACAGCGCCAAAAGTGCTGAACTATTACCTTTGAGTCTCTCCCAACAAAACACTATTTTTATTAATTAAAGCCTTAATTATAATAAGAAAACTACTTAACTATAAACTTAAGAATTACTTATAAATTAATAATTTGTTTGAATTGATTAATTCATTATTTCGTGTATCAATGAATGAATATCACATAACAGCACCATCTTTTACTCATAAAAGAAGCTCATACATAGCATAGATGCTATATTGGTTGCCTATAACAGAACTATAATTCAAATTATTGCTTACATAATACAACCAATTAATAAATGTAATAAATGCATATAAAAAACCTTGTATACATTCCATACATATATTGAAATTATTTGATTTTTTTTAATTTAATTAGTACTTAAACTTTCTTTAACTGAATTTACTTTAGAAATTGAAGAAAATTTTTACTAATGCAAATTCAACTGTTAATAATAATATGATAACTAACAGAACTTTTATATAAACATTTTTATACAGGAAAAACTTGTAGAAGTTTTCAAATATCATTATAATAAACTATATTTTAGTATAAAAAATCATGAGTTATGGATGAGAAAAACTATATCCTTTTTAATAAAATAATAAATAGTTATGATGTTCTTTTTTTTAAGTGAATAAAGATTGTAATGCGTCTTCATGGGAGCTAGTGTTAAGGATATTTATAAACACGCTGGATGCGAGCTGAGCTTGCTATGGAAATTCGCAGGAGAAAGAAAAGGAAAAATTGAAAGGAAAATCGAAAAGTAAAGGAAGTGCGAGGGAGATGGGAAAAGAAGGTCTGGTTATATGGACGAAGTTGGGAGGCGGCAAAAAAGTGGGTGGAGAAAAACGCATATAAAAGGGATCCGTTCGCGTGCTGCGAGATCCTGGGAATAAAGAAACGAGATATAAGGATACAAGGATGAAAAGAGAGAAAAAATATGAGTGTGTGTGTGTGCAAGAGAAAAAAAAGAGGAAGGAAACGGCAACGTGGAGAAATGGAGCGACGAAATGAAAGAAAAAGGGAAAAGAAAAAGAATGTATGTATTTGGGGGGTGGTTGAGGGTTGAAAGTAGGAGGACGAAGATGAAGAAGAAGCGGAGGAGATACATAGGAGAGAAGGAGAAAAAATAGAGCGTCTTCGTGTTGGAAAAAAATCGTGGCGGGCATTGGCGTCGCGACGTTCGCGTGGGCGGAGTTCGATGCTCCGCCCATGTTTAGGCGTCGCGGCGTAGGAATACTGGGATGGCCGTTGGGTCTGGACGCCGCCAGAGGGCCAGGGCATGTGTCCCTATCAATTGAGCTAAACCGGATCATTTTGTTTCCCACTTAAAAACACTTATACGGAGCGAAAATATAAAAAAAAAATCGGGAACGCGAAGCGACGGAAGAGAAGAGATCAAGAAAGGAAGAAGAAAATTGAAAGATAGGTGGAAATCACTTTTTTTTGTGAAGGAACGGTAACGGGGAAATGCACAGATGCTCGCGGCATCCTTAAACACGGATCGAAATCGCCTCTCGGAAGGATTTAAACGTTTATCGGCCTGCATATCCGGTGAAATCCAAGGAGATCTCAATCCAATGGGTGAGTTTTATAAACAATTTAACAATAGATGCAAAAATATGGTTGTTTTACCATAGAAAATTCAGCTTTTTCAATGTAGTAAATATTTATTTTGGCAAAAACTTTAAACATTTTATAAAACGTAATGTATCCATAACTAATTGGTAGAAGATAATTGAAGAAAAATAGTAAATTAAGCGTAGAAATTTGATTTCTTTTAAAGCAATAAAATGAATTGTAAAATTAACAACATTCCTGAAAATTTAGTGTTACTTCAGAAAAATAGTTGTAGCAATTTGAGCTTTTTGAAAGTAGTTAATCCATTAGGAAAATCATAGTTTTCCACATTTAACCAAAATTAGTTAATTACAAAAAAAAAGTACTATAATTGTTATTAAACTTTGTATAAAGTAATTTCAGAGTTGGCAATTTAATTGAATAATAAAACAAAACTTTCTTTAATTGTTTGCTATAATTAATTGTATAAAACTAATTAATTAATTGATACTATTTATTGTAAGAACTAAAATTAAAATAGTTACCATAACAACGATAATTTAAGTACAAACAATTTTTTTGTTTCTGTTACTGACAGAAGAATTCGAATCTCAGGATTTAATTTAAATATATTTAAATCCGCATTATATTGTAAAAACCTGGGTTAATTCCGTTAATTAGTTGCCGGTGGGATTCTGCGCTTAAAATGAATTAATATCAAATATTACCATGCAAATCCTTCGCATTTATTTATTTACATTCACATTTTATTCGCTCGCCCCCTTTTAGAAAGTGTTTTAATTAATTTCGGCAATTAAACAACATCCCTTAATTAAACGTGCATTCATTTGTTTATTTTATTTCGTTTATTAATCAAGCAAGCTTAG